TCCTGGGCTCAAGCAAGTCTCCTGCCTCAGCCTCCCAAGTAGCTGGGACCACAGGTGCCTGCCACAACGCCTGGCCATTTTTTGGTTGCAGCCATCATTGTTGTTTGGCGTGCCTGGGCTGGTTTCGAACCTGCCAACTTAGGTGTATGTGACTGGCACCTTAGCCACTTGAGCCACAGGCACCGAGGCTGATTTTACTTTTCTACTGGGTTTCTTTTTTCTTCACTGATATGTAAGAAATATTAAGGCTCTTAGCCCCTTGTCATATATGTTGTAAATAATTTTTCTAGCTTGTAATTTTTCATTTAACTTTTTTCCTTTTTGCTGGAGCAAAACTATTGCACTTGTAAACATAAGAGCAAGTCTAGAAATGTGAAGTCTGGACTTTGTTAGAAGGGGCAGCCTAGTAGTAGTAGAAAGAGAATTGGATTTGGAATTAAAAGTCCTGGATCTAAGTCCCCATTCTGCCACTCACTGGCTGTGTGTTCTTGGGTAGGTCATGTGTTGTGTCTGAGCTTCACCGTGGGCATGATGATTCTTACCTTACCACCCTCTTTCCCTGGACCTCTTTTGATTCCTTGGATTATATTATATTGTTTTTTGCTCTCAAGATACTAAACTGAAAAGACATATTTTCTGCCACTGAGAAATGAAAGACCTTTATAAATTAGAGTGCTATACAAATGTACTTTCTCTTGAGAGACTAGCAGGTACCCCAAACAGGGGCTCTTTCAGGACAAATTATTTTTCTGATGAAAACAAACTTACTTTAACTAGAGATGGTGGTAGTTAGAAGTAATACTCACTGAATGCTTACGATATGCTAAGCACTTTATGTGGATTTGGTTATTTGTTTTTCTTTTTTTTTTTAATTATTTATTTATTTCAGTTTTTGATCGAGGCTGGGTTTGAACCCACCACCTCTGACATATGGGGCTGGCACCCTACTCCTTTGAGCCATAGGCACCACCCTGGTTATTTGTTTTTCAAGCACCCTTTTGAGTTTGGCATTGTTATAATCTCCATTGTATGGATGAGGAAGCTAAGGTGGAGGCAAGAGAGGTTAAGAAACTTGCCCAAGGTCATACAGTGAGTAAGCAGTGGAACTGTGATTCAGACCAGGCGGTACGATTCTAGAGTCTGCACTTCTAATCACATTGACTATGTATAAGCATAATACGTATAATAGTTCTTATGTATATTAAGTTCTTATATATCATGTATATTAAGCTAGACGTGTAAAAGTATAGTCAGAGGATATGATAGTCTCTAATGATTTTTTTTTTCTTTTGAGACAGAGTCTTGCTCTGTTGGCTTGGCTAGAGTGCTGTGGTGTCAAGCCTAGCTCACAACGACCTCAAATTCCTGGGTTCAAGCGACCTTCCTGCCTCAGTCTCTCAAATAGCAGGGACTACAGGCACCTGCCAAGATGCCTGGTTAACTTTTTTCTGTGTGTGTGTGTTGTCCTTTTAGTAGAGATGGGGTCTTGGTCTTGCTCGGGCTGGTCTCGAACTCCTGAGCGCAAGCAATTCTAATCCCAGAGTGCTAGGATTACACACATGAGCCACTGAACCAGCCTCTATATAGATTTTAAAGAGAAATTTTTAGTCTTTTTAAGCTAGGAACATCAATGAGGGGTATTATTTGTGTTTGGATTCTTTTAAGTGTGTAGTTCTAAGAATTTTTAAAAATTCAAAAGAATTTTGTATATTGTAACATTGGAATGATCATCTTTTATTGCTGTTTGATTCTTTCTAGGTTTCTATTGTTTATGACTCATTAGATTTTGAACCAGAAATATTCTTTGCCTTGGGATCTCCAATTGGTATGTTTCTCACCATTCGAGGAATTGATAGGATAGATGAGAATTACAGGCTTCCTACCTGTAAAGGATTCTTCAATATTTATCATCCGGTGAGTGATGTGAGTTTACTTCCTTTTCTGAAGATGATGATGAACTTGTCCTCTTTATGCTAATAGATTCTCATTCTTGGAAGTTAATACCCTTGATTTTATAAGGTCAGCTCTCTTAACCTAAGGGATACAGTTCAGTACTGTCGGATAAATTTTTCTACCCAGAAGCCTTTGTTGAAGGAAGTAATTCTGTTGCTCACAAAGTAGTTTTACCCATAAACTTGAAAATCTTACAATTGCCAGCATTTAAATAAGGAGTGTGAAAAAAAAGTTTCTCGTTTGCCAATTATTCATTTTCTTACTTAGCTAAGGCATAGCATAATTCATAATAAAACAGCTTTTCATAAATTTATTCATCTATTTATTCATAAATTCTGTTTACAGCTTGATCCAGTGGCATATAGATTAGAACCTATGATTGTTCCAGATTTGGATCTAAAAGCAGTTCTTATTCCACATCACAAAGGCAGAAAAAGACTTCATTTAGGTAAAAAGCCAATACTATAAAGCTGTGTTCCCTTCCTGTCATTTTGTAGTCTGTGATGACTTATGAAAATTTTAACACTGAATTCTTTCTGATGGAATTAATGTTATGTAAGTGTCTACCATATTCAGAACTTTGTTTTTTTTTTTCTTTTGAGACGAAGCCTCAAGCTGTCCCCCTGGGTAGAGTGCCGTGGCATTACAGCTCACAGCAACCTCCAACTCCTGGGCTCAAGTGAGTCTCCTGCCTCAGCCTCCCAAG